GCTTGCTGCCTCCATCATCAGTGCGTTGACTCCCAGAAGACAGTCATCTTCATACTCGCCGCTAATAGAACATGAAATATCGCCTGACGTGATGTTTACAATGCCATATTTGAAAAGTTGTAGCCCTAATATTTGTTTCATGTTTGTAAAATGTTGTAATTAAACATAGACCTAAAATATTAACATTACTACAATCTCCAGTACAACCAAAATAATCATTAGTTTCACTCATGGCTATAGAAGTATGTTCTCCTTCCCAACCTATGCAAATTAATTGATAGCGATGGTGAGTATATAATACTTCTATGTAGCATATGGCATGACTGGTTGAGTGTATTTTGTTGTGGCTCCTTCATTTAAGCTGTATTTATGGAACTCTGTAGGTTGTTGAAGGGAAGTTAAATAATGTTGTCCATAATGCAGTATACTTTACAGTTTTCTGACAGTTATAAATTTAGGGATCACTCACTCACACGCGCTCTATAGTGTAGGAAATTCCTTGAAAGTCGATTTTAAACTGGGTTTGTCAAAGAATAGCCCACTTTCTTTCCTGAACCTGAATATTCATCACCGTGTTCACAAAAGCTTGCCACTGTACTGTCCTGAGCTAGCTGCATCCAGTTCAGTTCATCAATTCCTATCTCCCTAAGGTTAGTTTAATTAGTTTGTGTTATGTTTGTGTTGGGTATAATAAACATGTTATGTAAAGCTTGAATTATACAGCAAGTTTGCCGGTGGCTGATTTCATACAGGTACATGCTAAAAGAGGCCCATTTACACTGTATTATAAATTTGTTTCAAAATGGTAATTTTGTGTGTGTGTGTATGGGTGGTTAAGGTTGAGGGTGCTGCACTTTAAATTATGTGCTCAGGCTTTATAGTAGTGGAAACTGATGCATAGCATGACCATCTTCCATACTGGTATCTGTAGTTTTAACTGTAAATTAAATGATTGAATTGTTTAAAGCCAGCTGAACTTGCAATGTTATTTTCACCTGTCACCACATTAAACAAAACAGACCTAAACTGTCAAACTTAATATGACTTTATATATGATAGTGGTGTTTTCTTCATACTGGATGAAGTTATAATGGTTATTCTTTTACAAATTACATGTAGAAAGAGAAGTATAGTATAAAATCTCACTTATTTGTCTGTTAGTGTGTTCTCTGTGTTTTATATTCCATAATTTGTTTCAGCCGAAGTCTATAAAGAAAGAACTCTCAAAGAAAATACTGCATCCAAAAAGTCGGAAGGCAGTAAAGCTAACGAAGCAAACCAAAAAGTAAGATTTTTAGATATAGGTTTATAATTTTTTACCTTAAACAAGTGCCAAGTTTGATTCATGCATCCTTTACTTTTACTTTAATTTCACACTGGTACAGCAAAGGTGTTCAACTTCTAAAAGTCTAGTTTTATAGTTTGTCCCTGCACATGGCATTTATAAAGAGAAAAAATTGGGAGTGAGGTGCATGCTTCAATACCTCCTACCCAGTTTGTGATACAATCATGTTAACTGCATGATTAAATGGGGACAGTTGTTGATGTGACTTAAAGCTTGCTCATGGCTTGCCTCTTGATTACCATGTAGAAAGCTGCTAATAACTGGTATTGGTTGTTCTCCACATTCTAGAAAGTCCACCTGGCTACACAGTTCAGTCAGCAGTTGTTTGCATATGGGCATGTTCATGGATATGTTTTAGTTAGTCCACTCATTTGTACACAGCCCTGAATGATGATGATGATATTATTATTTTTTTTTACACTAATTTTCTTTCATTTCCAACTGATTTATCTTCATTGAACAAATTGTTGACAGAATCCAATTGATACTGCAGTGTTCTGATACGGATACACATTGCCTAATGCCATATTGCATTTAGCACAGAGTATGATGGTAGAGCAGTAATACTTTAGAGTTTTTCAGGAGGTACTGTGAATCTTCTTATAGTTTTCTTCAGTCTCTCCAGATAGATGCTTGGATAGTATCCTGAAATAGACTAGGATTGCCACTTTCCAAATCAGAATAATTTTTCTCGTGAGACACAGTGCAGCTGAAATAATATAATTAAATTACAAAATAATCACCCAGTAAATTATGGGCTCAAGACTACTACTTAATTTTGTAGCAGTGTGTTGCTACCCGACTCCCACGCTGTATTTTATCCTACGAACAATATGTATTACCTTCCAAGAAAAAGTAATGTATGCAGACCTCGAGTGACCCTTGTATGAATGTTAATGGGTGAAAGGGCTTAATTGTCAGTGTTGTCTGTAAAATAAATATGTTTCATTATCATAATTCATAATTATTGTGTGGCTGCCAACTTACACTATGTTAATGCTCAATCATTTTGTGGGACCTCATTTCTTGTCAGCTAATAAGATGGTAAACAGTGTAAAACATGTCTAATTAGTTGCATATAATGAAGAAGGAAGATAAATCCTAAGTTAGTCATGTTCTTTGCTTTTTCTTCATTCTTGTTAACTTCAGTATTGTCTCTAAAAACCTTCTTATTTTGTGTTTTTAACACCACAGGATTACAACACGTGAGAAAACTAAACTTATGCATCACATGAAGCAGAACTTGATTGGAGAAAAGTTCCTGTGGTTTCGAGATCATTTGGTGCCTGATATCACAAAGTATACGCCTGAACTTATTTTGATCATAATTGAACTGTAAGTGGTTTATTAACATTTCTTAAGGTGATGACTTATCTTAACCAATTAAGGTACTTGCTTCCCTCCAAGTTCTGTGCCAGGGCTGTCCATGCTGGATTTATGGTGCATTAAGTAACAGATTTTTCTGAAAGTACCTTTGTTTCTCACATCATTTCTCATTTCATTGATATCCCTGTTTTATATTCTGAGATGTATCATGGGACTGACTAACTGACACTCTGCCACACGCTTGGTCTTTACTTGACGTGTCAACCTTAAAGGTTCATGCTCTTGTCTTACATGTGAATAAGCCTGAGTCCAGCAGCATGATCAGCCAGTGTCATGGGCTCATGTAGTTCCCTACAGTCTTGATAGAACTGTCTTTATAGACTGTGCAACAGTCGCAATGCATTTCTGCAGCATAAGTCCAAGCGTGAGTAGTGTGGACACACCTTAGTAAAGCACTTTGCTGGAAGCATAAGAAGGGAATTTACTAGGACATGAGGACAGTTTTCCGTCCAATCCAAGTCCAGATATTCAACTCTTCCGTTTTGTGTCCCAATAACCAACAAGTACCGTTGTTTCTTTTGAAATATGATTGAAAGTTATTTTATTTTGTAACATTTGTGTATTCAATGGAAAATGTTTCTTCACCAGTTTTCCTTGTTTTATGATGATGCCATATATGTTTACATATGTAATTGGAATTTCAAGATTGAAATATATTGTTCTTTACTACCCTGTATTCCCAAAAATTTTGAGGAGGGGAAATTAACATTAAAATATACTAATTAGAAGTGCATGTGTTGAAACCCAACCTATATGTCAGAAATTGAACTTTTTTGTCTGACACTAGTAGGCTAAAGAGATTGTGAAGGTTTTAAATTCTGCAGTAAACATCTGATTGTATTCATTTACATTGTAACTTTTAGTTCATCAAGAACAGTCACTAAAACAAATGTCTGTGTTTCAGATATCTTGGTAGATTTAAAGAAGAATTGGAACAGATTAGTTTAAAACACTCAATTGGAAATCGCAAAAACAGACAACATGCAAGCAGAGAAGATATCATACGTCTCACTCTCTTGCGTGAGGAAGAGGAGTTTGCTACGTGTGGACTGGGTAAGTCAGTTAACAGTTCCAGTATCTTTAACTCCCTACTGTCCCTGCACTTGACTTGAGGATTGAGTAAAACCATAAGAAATGTCTGGTAGCAAGTTGCTAGTTGGAATTTGAACTGAGTACCGCTCAGATTTGAGCCAGATGGATTAACAGCATGAATCAGTCAAATGAAGAAATGCATTCACTGTATTGTATTGTAGTATTATTTAACATTTATATTAATAATTGTATAACTAAGGCCACATTGATAATTTATTGCGTAAGTAGAGGTAATTTCTTATTAATAGTTTCTTCAACATCCATTATAGAAAGAAGTATTATGTTTTTAATGTTAATATGTAATACAGGTTTTATTCTTAATAATCTTGGGTTTCTTTCAGTTTGTGTTTGGGAATTGGAATGTGTGTTGTTGTTGTTGTTGTTGTTGTTGTTATTATTATTATTTAGTGTTATGTCTGACGGCAGGTCCATTATTCTGCCCAAAAAGAGTTCGCCAGTTTTAGAGACACAAAATTTAATTTGCATATTTTTGAACACTGTTTAATTTTAGAAACCCTGACTCATTTGTGGAATATATTCACAATTATAAATTTATTTATGGTTTATTTTTGGTTTCCAGTAAGTGTAATGTTGGCGCAGTATTTTGTTGTCTAAAATATGGATGAAAATCATTAGAACAGAGAATAAACATTAGATTTTTAGTGAAATTTGGAATCCAGATCTCATGAGATAATATAGCTGTGCTTGTTCGTTACTGTTGGTTCCAAGTGGAATATAATTTAAACCAGACTGCTTTACATGTTTCATAACTATAAACATATTAGCAGCTTTGATTTACTGCAATAAATGTCTTGCATTAAACATTATGTGGAACCAACATAGCCTGAGTTCTCTAAAAATAAATTATCCAGGACATCATCATACAGTGGAAAAATTGAATCCATTATCAGTTTTATTTTATTTTAAATCTCATTTGCCTTAATCTTTACAGAAATTCCAGATGTTACAATTCCTAAACAGTTGGAAATGCTTCGAAATTGGGATGGGGAGTTGCGTTTACTGCAAAACTTCAAGTTGAGGAGGTTTAGTCGTAAGAGCCTTCGGGATCTTGTCACTTGCCCAAAGCTCAATGAAGAGGAATTAGTTATAGATGATAATGTTGCTGTGAAGAGTGCTCTGTCTGTGAAGGCACCCATTGTACAGAATAAGGAATCTAACCCACAAAATGTTGTCAAATCAGATGTTAATGAGACTCCAGTAATCCTGGAGAGCGAAACACGTGAACTAACAGTTGCTGATAGTATGGATATCGACAGCAAATAGTGCCAGATTCAGTAATAAATTTATTTAATTGTTTATGTGTTCTTATTTATCTACCTTACTCTTAAAAAGACCACTATAATGGCAGTTATATAATCCAAAAAAATTGTCATTGTTATAGCTTCACATTATATTCACGTTTCATCCCTTTCCCATTTCATACCTGCCTACTTTTCATGCTCATCTCCCCATTTCATTTAGTGCTGTACATTGCAATTGTTAATTGTAATATATAGCTGATAAATAAACTAAGAATTTGTCAATAACCTATTTACTTGAAACAGTGTCATTAATGAATCTGATAATCATTTTTATTAGTTTGGCCAGTGGGGGTGTTTGTAAGATTAATTTCTTTACGACAGACTGATTTGAAATTGTTGGATACTTAGACTTCAGTTCCTCGTGTGGGTGTTATTGTTGGTGGTATTATGACTTAGTTATTGAGGGTTTTGTGGTGCTTTATACAGCAGCCAGTAAATAATGAGTGTGAAAGTATGAAGTACAACTTTGTGATTTTTCAGTGTGATCTATTTAATTCATCATAATTGCATATAGTGAAGTAACATTGTTATGAAAGATAATCAGTGATGTGAGAAAGGAATTAACATAATTCTCATACTGCTTATTGCCCAAGAAAACTTCAGTAAATTTAATGTGTACGAAAGCCTCAAATCCTATTTTGTGACATTGTCGATAGTTTTGAGTTACACTTCTGCACTTCTGGATCAATGTTTGTATAGAAGTTTCTGACTGCCCCTTCTCCAGTCTCTTCCTGTCATCTCTACATCTTTCATTACTTGATATATCCATTGTGTTTATGGTCTGCCCCTCCCAAAGTACATCCATGCTGTGGGAGAGGAGGCAACTATTCAAATGTCAGGGTGACACACAGTAGGGACTTGCCCCCAGCACCTTCAGGGTAGGTGAGAAGGCCTGACAAGAACTCTGAAAGAACTTCCAAACAGGCTAAGGCAAATAGCAGGCTAATGGTGAATGGATATGTGCTTTCAACAAAAATAAAAGTGAGATGGCCAGATTGTGTTAAATTGCAAGGATTTTATAATTCAGAATTTAAAAAGTACATAGTTTTCAATGGATCAGTAGTTGTTGTATTTCATGTCTCAAAGATTTGTGTGTTCATTTGTTAGATCAGTTAGTTCCTGTATTGGATGTTTTAGTAATGCATAACTCTAGGTTAATTAATTTTGTGTTAGAAATTCTTATGAGCCAGAATAGTTCAATCTGTGAAGTGGTGACTGGATAACCAAGGAACAATTCTTGGTAGAAGCAGGGATATTTCCCTTTGCTACCACATCCAGACTGGCTCTGTGACCCACCCTGTCTCCTAACCGGTGGATATCAACCAGTAAGTTTAAGAATGAAGAATGTGTGGAGCTACATCACTACTTCCCAATACGTCTTCATGCAGAGGTGCTGATTTAAGGGTGGATGCCCTGCTGTGAATGCATTTCACGTTTCCAGGTAATGATGCAAAAGCTATAATAAAAATGTTTATACGTTGTCATTTTGCAGTATTTTAATAAAATATGAGTAATATATAATGTTATGATCATTGAAATCTCTTCAAACCAACAAGTTTGCAAGTTGACTGTATTAGTCTGTACATATGTTAAGTATTAGATCATGGATGGTAACTTTTCATCTTCTTTGTACTTTGTACTTGCTGATCAGTGACATGAAACCGACACCAGTCTACCTTCCAGTGAAAAAATGCTGAATGTATTAAACTCTCTCTTTGCTACTTCCTGTCAGATGCTTGAGTCAGGGTTATTTTGTTTCGGCTTCCATGACTTGCGTGCAGTTTAGATACGCTCTTGAGAACATGTGAGACATTAGTGGAATGAATTTCCTCTCCATAGATCATCCTGTTCTCCTTTCAGAACGTATGTAAGTTTATGCATTCATTGAAAAGAAGCGGAACTTTATATAAGGGATACATTTTCTGTTAAAGTGATGTGTTGTTTTTATTTGTGAACAGTTTTTAGAATTTTAAACAAGTGCTCAGAAATCGTGTGTGATGAAGAACTGCTCGTCCCATGACACCTTAAACAAATTTCCCTTTTAACCTTAATTTTTGTCCCATCATCTGGAACCACAGTTTATGTTTTTCAGTACTAGTCTAAATGTAAAAATAATGAATACTATTTTCTCAAGATATAAAGTGTTCCTGACTTTTCAAGATGACAAAATTAAACTCACTACCAGCAACAACAGTCAGAAGGAATGCAATATTGAAAGGTATGTTTTAGAAATTGTATACAAATTTCAGTTTAGATCAGAGGTTCCCAAAGTTTGGGGCGCGCTCCCCTGGGGCGGGGGGCGTGTTGTTTGTATGAAAAACTTTTTTTAATGAAATATGGAGAAACATTTTTAACATCCTTCGCTTGGTTGAGGCAGTTCAGCAGTGGCAGCCATCAAAACAAATTATCTTTCTACGATGAACCTTGAAAACGACCTTAGAGCGGCCATTTCAAAACTCCAACCTCGGTATGATAAATTATGTTCACAGAAGCAACCACATCCATCCCACTAATCCGGGTATGAAGCGTGTATTTTATTAGTTTTTAAATTAAATGTATTGAATAAATTATAAAAAATGTATACTCATAACTAAATTTTATGTCAAATCTGTTTGCTTGCACTTGTTCTGGAAGGGGGGCGTGAAATTTATGAAATGTTTTAAGGGGGGCGCAAGGTATAAAAGTTTGGGAACCTCTGGTCTAAATCTAATCAGTCTTGTCTTGAAATAAATCTACCGGTACAAAAAGTAAAACATTATTTTTGTAATTCAACTGATTAATTGTAAAAAACGCGTTGACATGTTCTGCTCATGGCTTTTCAACACCTAAGAATATTTTAACACCCTCCGGTCAATATTTTAAGTAGTTTTCTTCATGACTCATGTCCCATCACGTGGGACATTGGATGAGGAAAGGTGAAAGCATCCATTGGCACTTTAAGAGCCAAAACCTTTTCGTAATTAAATTAGTTTAAAAACATATAAATATAAAATTCTGATTACAGCATTTATCTTATCGACCAGCCGATATTCTGTTCACCTATGTTAAGTTTTAAAAATTAACACCGTTGACATTAGCTGTTATAATTAATAGAGTTGTAAGGGATCAAGAATCCAGGGGTAAGACTTACAGATAAAATCCTTTGTCGTTGAAACCGTATAAGACTGCATACTTGCAGTGTGGAATAAGTTATGATTTCTAAATAGCTGACTGTTTTTTCATGATTGTAAACGAATTTTGGACATTCTTTCTGCGCACAGATTTTGGTATGCTAAGTGTCTGAAGTGTTTGTTGTTCCTGTCCATTCATGTGTTAAAATCCGTACGCACACGTCAACTATAGACCTGTTTAATTTGTAAATTTTGAACCCAAAACACAAATAATTTTCATTAGTTTCCTTGTTCTCTCCCTCTATGAGTTTAAACGAATGTCATAGAATACTTAAAGTTAACAAATTATCTTTATAACAGGCCTAATCATTGTTCTAGAATAAATACGTAAAAGACTCCGTATAGCAGAATCCACCTTGATGGTATGATAGTTATACATCTGGTCAAGAAACTTCCTGTCTTTTGTAAAATTCAGAAATGTTGCTATTGCGTTCACAGTTTGACCCCATCCTGAACCAGATTATTGCAGTCACGCCTCATACCTAAAATTGTTAAAATATATTTTAATATTATCCCCCATTTACGACTAGATATCCCAAGTAGTATCATCCTCTTTGTTTCATATTCCCTATCTACCTCATCCTTTATTTGAGTGGCGTAATAATATCTGGTGGAGAGTACAATTTAGGAAGCTTCATACTCAGAAAATGCCTTCATCCTCTAATTACTTCCTTTTTCGTACATTCAAACATTCTTCCTAGAACCCCGCTATCAAAAGTCTAAATATATGCTTTCATCCTGGAGCGAGAGACGAAGCTTTCCTGTACTTTAATCTGTTGTTAATTGTTTAACTGGTTGACGAGATGTGTTAATTTAACGTTATTAAAACGAGGAGATTGTGTATTTGAAAAAAAAAAAAACACTACATGCCTTGCCCCATCCCGCGCTAAATCAATCAAGCTCGAACATTGGTTATGTGAAATATCGATAGTGTAGGAAGCTGCATTATCGATTCAGGCATACAGTAACACACACTGCCTTAATTTTCAATGTCAGAAAACCAGCATTTCGCCTCATGTTGCTTGTGTCTGATGGATCACATGGACAGAATCCATCGCGTGATTTCTCAACAGTGGCTTTATGTTTCACGCAACAGCCTAACCTAACCAGAGACAAAAAAGTAGTGCCAAATACGCACCTTAAGATTTTTCTTGCATCATTAGCCTTGGTGTCAAAAACCAAACCCATTATTACGCAAGTCGAAGTAGTTTTATCATCAGGGCGGTGACGGACATAACCTCTGAAAAGTTGGTGGAAATCTATCAGACTACACGGCATAACAACCCAGAAGACAGAAATCTTAATTTGATGTTACTAAACCCTGAAATACGGATTTATAACTGACACATTGTATCTAAAATGAAATTAGTTCGACAACTGTCAGTGTGGACATCAGTATCATATTTAGTCAAAATCAGTCGAGAAGTTTGAAGACAAAGTATTGGGACGGACGGACAGACAGACAGACAGAAACAGCTCTCCAGTTACGCGGTATTCATTTGGACTTGTGCAAAGAACGTATGCCAAGAAGTTTAAAAGGTCTATTACCAACATATTTAATAGATAACGCTAATTACCAAAGTAGATCTTTACTAACAGAAATTTCTGTCGTGATGCAACCAACTAATTCGAAACATCACACTTTTGTTTGGTGCCTTGGCCATGTACGAATAAATATCATAACGCGAAGGCAAAGGGTTCTCTAAGCGGCATTTCTTCATCGCGAATGAATACCTATTTTCCAGATAAATTGTACTTCTCCCGCACTTTCTAAAAATTATCTGAGCTGAAATAATGAAATTGCTTATTTCATACATAAATGTGTGAGGAACAAGAGATTTGATGATAGTAATGGTTATACGAATAGCAAGTCGTTATCTGTGAGCTAGTAACCTGGAATACGCCTCGCTACTCCAAACGATAACATAGCTTGGCTTTGACCGCAAAGAACAAGCGGATACAGGCAGAATTTTTATTTTCTGATATATTCCACACTCAAAATATGTCTTGATAAAGGAAAGTGGTTTCCATTATAAAGTTTACAAATTGTTTGTCAGGTTCTGGAAGTAGTTAATTTGGATATAATTTCAGAGTTACAAGAAGAAAAGTAATTTTTGTAAAACCATTTAATTCCAAGTTCCATAACGGCGGGTTTCAATGCTTTTGTGTATGACACATGTTACCACAGAATGACGTACTTACGTACGTGTCACCTAAAACTTCGCTGCTAAAACAAGCACGATAGGTAAAACAGTACGATAAACTATCGAAACAAGGCCAATACCAGACATTCATGTGAAGGTCGTTCAGTGTGGTATCTTGTTGTGCCATATTTTCCACGAAAACTTTTTTCTCTGATAACCTTGTCACCGATGCAGACATTATGGCGGTTCGTTATCTGTCACGCCAAATTTGGAACCGTTTCTTAAGACGCACGATTCAGCTCCATGCTTGCTAGTGGACTGGTGCCATAACCTACGGAATAATACTCAATTATTTTATGACTTGTTTTGAAATTAATATAATTTCCCTCAGTAACTCCAAATAAATATCCTGCACCATAGAATGAGTGAATTCCAAATAAACATTTTTAGTGTAAAATGAAGCAAATGTTCATTGCCTTCGAATTTATTGTTATGCAGTCCTGCACAATCTATTGACGTCTCTGGTGCTGGTCTTTTTCACGCACTTGGTGTGGAACTACAGCTCTACTGCTGGTTAAGCTGTGCAAAAGCGACTAAGAGAAAATTGTTGGTTTGATTATATGGAGCCTTCGTAAAAATATTGTAATGAAGTACAGCGTTCAGATTTTGAGACATGGAATCAGGCATAGACTGCAGAAGAAGAAACAAACGAAGAATGAACCCCAACTGTAGTACGAAATAAAGACTTTACGTTTTCAGGTAATATTGTATGACGGTTATTGTGTGGGATTGTTTTTACACAAAACATCCGTTTTCTATCTGTGGCTCTGCAACCCAGTGTGGATCTTGGCAGCCTCCTTTGGAGGTTTCTTAGTCTGCACAAAACAAACTCACTCTGTATGAGAGGAATGACTGAAAACATATGAATTATAGTGTCAAGTGTCAGACCTTGTAAATATGGTAACAAAACGTTTGGTTCCACAAAATGAAGGGAATTTCTTGGCCAACTGAACGACTATGAGGAGTTCATTATTGGTTATCACAATATTTTTAAATATTCGTAATTTTGGTTGGTTGGTTTCCTCATTTTCTTCAGGCTTTCAAGATCATGTCCCCATCAAATTCGATACTAAACACCTCTGCAGTGGAAATAAGGTTCCGTAGGCCCCAGTTCCTGATGATGTATGGGTATGTTTTTGAGGATTTGGAAGGAAGCGGTTGCGGCGTACAGTACTTAAAAAAGGTACGGTAGATCTTCTGACCCGATATTGTTCCAGGGAGGACTGTGAACAATAAAGAAACACTCGGTGAGGTTGTCGGTTTTTCCGGCCAAGATTAGAAGCCGGTACCTCCCGAATACAAGTTTCGTGCATTACCTGTAAGTTAATTTGTCGGGTATTAATAGCCACCGCTGTAAAATCGAGATGAGAATTTGCTCTGTCTTTCAACAAATTTTGCTTATTTAGATAAGTACACACGACACACTTTAGAATTTAAAATGTTAGTGATGTCATAGGCGGCCTTGCCAACCACCGCTTAGACAAATTCAAAGAGGTTAGAAGTGAGTAGCTTCCTAGGCAGTGTCCGCTCGTCCTTCTGGTAAAGGCAGGTTGCAGAGAACTTAGGCATTCGGTTAGTAAAATGCAGAGACAATGGCGTTTAAGGAATTTAAAGAATTCATCAAAACGCAATTACTAAGCATGAAATCTGCAATTTCAGCAGTCGAAACTTTGATGTTATATAACGTAAGAATTCATTATTAACTGATTAATTCCATGGAGCAGAGTCCTTAAGAAACTAACAGTCGTTCAGATAGTCAAAAAATTCCTCGTGTGTTACGGAAACAAGTGGATCGTTACAATGCACCCCAAAAGATCAGTCATTAAGCAAGCATATAATTTAAACGTTAATCAAATCAAATTAATAAGATGGCTGTCTTCTGGGTTGTTGCACTGTGTGGTAGAAGTTTGCCAACGTTTCACAGGTCCTTGCTGTCTCCATCGTCAGAATGATGAGTACTTGGTAAACATCTACCAGATTACACGGCGCAACAACCCAGAAGACATCCATGTTCGGACTCATCGCCGTGAAAACCTCGAATTCTAGTAAATCGGGTTAGGTCCGACAGGAAATTAATATTGAAGTCTTCAAAATATTACGCACTTTGTTCTAACACCTTCCATTTTCGTCATTTTCCAGGTATCACAGAAGCAGTTATTTCACGCGTACGTGTCTTGGCTTATTATCACAGAGAAGAAAATCCCCGCTGTAGACTCCAGCTACAGTATTGAAGAAAGGCTGAGATATTTCAATATCGGTATCGACACGGATTTAGTAATTGCGACAAAGATTAATGTCTCTGATATCTCTGATAGTGACGGCCGGAGCTGGACCCACGGTTGGGGTGACAAGGCTGATGCAACCAATGATGATAGAGATGGGACATACAGAGTTCGGAAGACAGACAACCCTGTCAATGATGAAAAGTTGAATAGTGTACGAAGTTATTGTATCAATGAGAATGAGAAGTATCATGAAAGAATTCGGATACAGAAAGAAGAAAAACGAAGAAGAAACAATAGAAAATACAACAATAAAAACAATAGAAATGATAAGACTAGTGAGATAGGAAATTGCGTAGAGAATTCTAATAGAAGAGAATATTATGGACTAGAATTTTCGTTGCTTCAAGTATACAAAATCCGCCCAAATTCCAACAATTCACTGATCATGATTTCATTAGGATCGTGGAATGCAATAAATGGAACTTTGAATATGGTGTCTTCAAACGGCATCGAACAGCGAAACGACTTTCGTGGTTTTCCACTCTTCGTGGGTGTAAAAAATACCACTCAAAATACAGGAGAGGTTGTAGGCGGTTCTATTAAAAGCATATCATTGCCAGCACAGAATTCAGACGATGAGATTGAATATGACACTCACTTGATGGAAGTTTTGGACTTAATCACCAGATCACTAAATGCGAGGTTCGTCATACATATTCCTTCCATTTCTAACACAAGCAAAATTATTACATTCTAGAAAACATTTCGAATTCTAAAACAAAGGCAGGGATGTCGTGGCTTTATTGAAAGAAAATCATGAAAAACCTTAATCAGAGTAGCAGGTTTCTGGGCTGATATTTTAATCTGGCACCAGCTGATTACGAAGCAGGAGAAGGAACCACACGATCATAATGTTTAGTGTGTTCCTCTAATAGTGTGCAGCTGGCCATAATATCACTTACACACAAGTTTTAGGGACTGTACTTTATCTCTTTTGTAGATTTTTTGTTGTTGCTAATATGAAAATAAAAAATCAAGACAACATTAATCATATTAAAATTTCATCTCTCTAGGTTAAGAAAATAAAAAGTTCAAAAATGCATGCATAGCATAAATCAGGCATGTGTGCCAGAAATTTAACGTTGGACGTTGCGAATGATGGGAATTCACGTGGAAAAATGCATGTACGTCTACATGTAAAGTCACACAGTTATTATTGTCTGATTTTTATCAAAACTGGAATGTGTTGACAGATTTTATTAATACTCCCCAACAGATAATGTCATGGAAATGTGTTCAGCTATTCTTGAGTAGTATATGTAAATTCTGTATGCACGAGTACGCAAAGAATGGTACTATTACTGAGTTATCTGTGTTACAGTTATGAATTGATTCCTTTCTCAAAGCTAGGATGGAAAAATGATCAAGGAGCTTGGCTGTTCATGTTGGGTGCAGTGACTGTGGGAACTGTTGATCTGGGTCTGGATAACGTTGTTATCACCCCAGACCGGTACAGAGATATGTTCTTCACTCTTCCCATCGTTCAATCCATGTATGTATACTCATTTACGAGACATTTGTCTGTGGCTCTGAAAACAATTAATAGCATTTTTGGAAAGTTTAATATATTGATTCATGTGCTAATAAGTAGGTAACAGATAAACACTCATTAGGCTGGGGCCACACGACCGTACAAAGTACGTCCGTTGCAACGGACGTACTTTGTACGGTCGTGTGGCCCCAGCCTTTAGACTAGAGGTTCTCATGATGGTGAAGATGTTATTGTTGGTGTTGTGGGTTGTGACATGTGTGGATTTGTAGATGGTTACCAGCATTTTGGTCATGAAGATGGAGGTAGTATTTTCCTCTGAAATGTTGGGACCCACCTACAAATCTACAGTGTCACAATTCAGAAGATGAACATAGACATACATTCATTTTCAGGTGAGGATATGTCTAAAAGTGTTAGCTGTAAATTATAATTTAAACTGAGAATGTGTTTATTTCATAGTTAAATATATGTAGGATCATAAATTTAGTACTTAAAAAGTGTCCACCATTTTGTTGAATATGCTCTTGTAAAAAAAAAGAAAGTCAAATTAAATGTCTTCTATTATGTTGAAAATAATGACATTTATATAAATAGGTTTGAAAAGTTGAGCAAATAGTGAATTTAATTGGTGCTGGAAAGTAATTAATATATTTACCCTGTCAACCCTAAAATTGAACTTCAGTATTTCTGTAAGTTTTGTAGTTAAAGGCTGGGATTTAAAACCATAAGATCAATTGTTACAATTAAATTTTCCAACATTGGAACATTTATCTCTTTTTATTTTTAGGAGAAACATTTATTTTCGTCGGCCAGAGACTGGTGCCATGCGTGACATATTTTTGGCCCCTTTCAGCCCTCGTTTGTTAGCTAGTGTGGTAGCTACTGGTGTGGTAATTGCCACTGCCATGTTTCTGGTCAATGCCTCAACAGCTAAAACAAACAGAAGAAATGAATCTAACAGTAACAGCAAGAGTTCCAAAACAAAATGGATTCTTGGTGAAGCAATGGTGTGGAGTGTTAGTGTTCTATGCATGCAAGGTAATGACAGTTTGTTGACCATATAAAATAATTTGCATTGTTATTATTGAAATTTTTATTATAATATTAAATAAAATTTTTGTTTTGTTATAGGTAGTTCATGGAGTCCAAAATCTCCTTCAGGGTGCCTAGTGCTTATCTTCAGCCTGTGCTTTGCTCTTGTGATTTACAATGCTTATGCTGCCTTTATCACGTCTGTTTTGTCAGTTCGTGTTGGTTCTATCAGAGGTCTGGGAGACCTCCTGGAAAGCGATTTCCATTTTGGCTACACTCGGAAAGGGCAGGATGAGGCATTTCTTCTGGTAGGTAAACCAACTTTTCTCTCATACACATTATCCACAAGGGGTTATATGAAGATTGAAACATAAATTACACAAAGATTTTTTATTAGAGTAAAGGAAATGAATATGTCATATACAGGTGACTAAAAAAGATGTAGGCACTCACACAATAAATGAAATAAAAACATTTTAATAAAATAAACCATTACATATATCACTTAGTGAATTAGTGAATCTAGTGGAGGTAATCAAAGTGATCACTATCCATAACTAACTAACTAGATGGCTTACCGAACCCGAAGGTTCATCACCGAATTAACCAAAGCCCTCCACCGGACCCTGTCCTGGGCCAACAAAATCCAGTCTCCTTCAACTCCTATCTCCCATAGATCCCGCCTGACATTATCCTCCCATTTACATCTAGGTCTCCCCAGCGGTCTCTTCCCCTCAGGTTTCCCAACACGGAGATCGATAACAAGTTTAATATCTCATATTATAATATATCTTTTTGGGAGATGGTGTATAGCACCCACCATAACAAAAGATACAAAATGACATCTAAAAATAAATATTTTTTGGAGTGGATTTTCTGTGACATCATGACCAACGCACATTAACCTTAATCATATGAAAATAGGAGATTTACCCCTGAAATGTGGGGCTATTGACTGTGCTTTAATTCGGGATGCCAGAGCCCACCAAGGGCTGTAGTGCAAGAAAAGAAGAAGAAGAAGAAGACTGTGCTTTAACTATCAAGTTCACAGTTTAGTGACATGCTAGTGCTGAACTGTGTGTAAGCCATGATGTACAGACAATAAAAGTGAGGAGAATAAATGTTAAAATAAAAATATTTTCTAAATTTGTGATCATCAGTTTCTTTGTGTGACAGCACATTAACACATTTGTTATTGCACTAAACTTCTTGTAGGTTATGACTGTTGTCCGCTGTTTGCAACTGACTACATGTCATAGTCAAACTACATTCCATATATAATTATCTCCTTATCAATTCACAAAAGATATTAAAATCATTTACAAATAAATAAAATGCTATAGCAATGGATTTATATGCATTCATAGAATAGCATTGTCAACGCACCATTAAAAGAAAGTTTGTGAAAGAAGTCACATTTACAAACAATGATAGTTACTAGTCTAATGTTAGATAATTCAGAGATCATATGTGAGAAGAAATGTAGGCCATTAACAGCCCCAAGAACTTAGCAGGCTTGTCTGACTGTAAATATGCTGTTCCCTAAAAGTTATTTTTTAATTTCACAATCTGGTAATGCCATTGCCACATTTAAAAATTAATTCATTTGGCTTCATGTTAAAAAATGTGAAAATTATGTTCTCCAGGGTTTAGTAAATGATTCTGCATTACGGCAACTGTACTTGAGAGGTTTCGTCAAGAACCATGGAGTAGATGAAGCGTCTTCTGGTTTACTGAAAGCTTCTCACGGAGGCTACGCATTCTTTGTATCAGCTCGGCTAGGCAGGAAAGCACTCAATTCCTTCATCGCGCAAGACAAGCGCTGTGCTATTCAGGAACTAACAGTAGAAGCCACCAAAAGTGCCATTGCTTTACCTATGGGTATTGCATCACCATACAGAAGGCTCATCAATCTCAGGTATGATATAGTCACAAAATGTGTAAGCATCAACAGTAAAGCAATTACGACACTCTGTCAAAAGTATTCAGTGGCCTCCTTTCATGCCAATCTGTCTAGTATGTCTGTTTTGTATTTTCTCAAATGCTTCGATACCACAAACAAAAATTTATTCTCTTAATCCGGTATATTATCCATCCTTACAGTTTGCTACGCATGCGAGAAGCAGGAGTTCTGGGGCCAATACAAGAACATATGCTGCCACCAATGCCACGCTGTCAAGCCTATTCTGCATTCAATAGTGCAAGCCTGACAGATGTATATTCAGCATTCCTAGTGTTGGGAGGAGGATTGGCAGCAGCGATTTGTATGGGTTTATCAGAAAAAGTCTGGAAGCATCGAGTTTCTATTGGGCATTGGTTAGCTATTAAGTGGGCTGGTAGGGATAAGGTTGAATCCATAAGTGATCAGCAGAGGCTTCAAGTACACAGACAGATGCACCAAAGATCTAGATTTCAGCATGATATTCAATGGTTTAATTAAGCATCTGATAGATTAACATAGCAATAGTTCCATTTGTAAATTACTTTCTAAGTTTTGCAATCTTCACTGTGTTTTCAGTAAAAAACATTATAAATGGAGTCATGAAATTTCTAGGGCAACAGAGAATAACAGAATTCTTATGATGAGTTAATTTTCTTATCCTGCAAAAACAATTCCCATTAATATGTTTATGAGAATATCAAAAACACTGATGTGTCTCATTATAGTGTACCATAACTATAATTTATATTATGTAACTTTATCATAACATCCTAATTAATTAATTATTTATGTTTATCACTCAGTGATGGGAATATTTTCGTTTTTCATGGTCACAATTGAAACCATATAATGAATAACAATAATTTTGATTTGCATATGGTAATATAGCAAAATAAACATCATTAATGACTCTGCAGGAAAAAAATATCTTATTCCAAGAATAGCACATAATTAAAATATTTACTAGAATTGCTGCCTTGAGGCATTTCATGTCGTATTTTTTCAAGGCCAGTGTAAATGGACATTTTACACACCCTCAAATCCTTAATTGCTTGGTATGGAAGAAATATGCTAAATAGTAACAACAAATTATAATAGCTAACAAAATGGAAACTAAACTTTTTTGATTTTAGTTGTAAATAATTTCACTAGTAGTTATATGTGACAGGAACTCAACAAAATAAAACACTAATATAGTTATACTTGGAATTAAGTACGTTAATTATCAAAACATGGACTCTCATCAAGAAACTTCATTGTTAATGAGGTTAATGATTTTTATGAACATATCAATTTTCTGTTTGTATAAAGAATGTGGACAACGGAAATTACATTATTTGCTTCTAATTATGTTGGGTTGGCTTCAATTTGGCGATAGCGCATTTCTTTGGAAACCTTTCTGCCAATGTTGACCAACGTGATACGGAACATTAACCTCCTTACTGACTGAGCTACCGATGTCAAACTTCGAATTTTAAGCCTGTGGCAGTAAATAATCAAGATAGAATAAACAGGAACCCATCGCACAAATCAATTTGATCATATTACTTATGTGTGTTATGAGCATATGTTAATCCAACTCGCTTATAAATTACACAAACAAAACGCCAAATTCTAAAAATTCATTACAGTATTTGATAGTTCCACTACTGTACTGCTGTCTACATGACACTATTTCGTTATAGTGCTGCCACCTACGCGATCAATAAGAGAAACAATTTACTCGAATGTTTGACCATAGGTGAACAAAATTAACCACAAGTGGATAATCTTTGGTGGGTGGTTAGAATTTTCCTCTATTATCTTATTTGTAAAAATATGTGACTTTAAGCAAGTACATATTTTTATCATAAAATGGTAAGTACATCAATACTTATTTCTTTTTGCCAGAGTGTGTAAAATTCAAAATGAAAGACAAAGTAATATTTTTACAAATTAATGAATAGGTTGTGTTCGGTATTCAGGTATAATTACAGTGAGCGTTAAATATGTTGTCATTATCGTTAGTTAAAATGGTTTGCAACGTTATAATATCATCCAAACGAAAAACGCATATGTGTTTCAATGAGATAGAACCTCAACATCTACTGGCATGTTGCGCTGTGTAGTCTGGTAGAAGTGTACCGACGTTTCAGAGGTGCTTGCTGCCTCCATCATCAGTGCGTTGACTCCCAGAAGACAGTCATCTTCATACTCGCCGCTAATAGAACATGAAATATCGCCTGACGTGATGTTTACAATGCCATATTTGAAAAGTTGTAGCCCTAATATTTGTTTCATGTTTGTAAAATGTTGTAATTAAACATAGACCTAAAATATTAACATTACTACAATCTCCAGTACAACCAAAATAATCATTAGTTTCACTCATGGCTATAGAAGTATGTTCTCCTTCCCAACCTATGCAAATTAATTGATAGCGATGGTGAGTATATAATACTTCTATGTAGCATATGGCATGACTGGTTGAGTGTATTTTGTTGTGGCTCCTTCATTTAAGCTGTATTTATGGAACTCTGTAGGTTGTTGAAGGGAAGTTAAATAATGTTGTCCATAATGCAGTATACTTTACAGTTTTCTGACAGTTATAAATTTAGGGATCACTCACTCACACGCGCTCTATAGTGTAGGAAATTCCTTGAAAGTCGATTTTAAACTGGGTTTGTCAAAGAATAGCCCACTTTCTTTCCTGAACCTGAATATTCATCACCGTGTTCACAAAAGCTTGCCACTGTACTGTCCTGAGCTAGCTGCATCCAGTTCAGTTCATCAATTCCTATCTCCCTAAGGTTAGTTTAATTAGTTTGTGTTATGTTTGTGTTGGGTATAATAAACATGTTATGTAAAGCTTGAATTATACAGCAAGTTTGCCGGTGGCTGATTTCATACAGGTACATGCTAAAAGAGGCCCATTTACACTGTATTATAAATTTGTTTCAAAATGGTAATTTTGTGTGTGTGTGTATGGGTGGTTAAGGTTGAGGGTGCTGCACTTTAAATTATGTGCTCAGGCTTTATAGTAGTGGAAACTGATGCATAGCATGACCATCTTCCATACTGGTATCTGTAGTTTTAACTGTAAATTAAATGATTGAATTGTTTAAAGCCAGCTGAACTTGCAATGTTATTTTCACCTGTCACCACATTAAACAAAACAGACCTAAACTGTCAAACTTAATATGACTTTATATATGATAGTGGTGTTTTCTTCATACTGGATGAAGTTATAATGGTTATTCTTTTACAAATTACATGTAGAAAGAGAAGTATAGTATAAAATCTCACTTATTTGTCTGTTAGTGTGTTCTCTGTGTTTTATATTCCATAATTTGTTTCAGCCGAAGTCTATAAAGAAAGAACTCTCAAAGAAAATACTGCATCCAAAAAGTCGGAAGGCAGTAAAGCTAACGAAGCAAACCAAAAAGTAAGATTTTTAGATATAGGTTTATAATTTTTTACCTTAAACAAGTGCCAAGTTTGATTCATGCATCCTTTACTTTTACTTTAATTTCACACTGGTACAGCAAAGGTGTTCAACTTCTAAAAGTCTAGTTTTATAGTTTGTCCCTGCACATGGCATTTATAAAGAGAAAAAATTGGGAGTGAGGTGCATGCTTCAATACCTCCTACCCAGTTTGTGATACAATCATGTTAACTGCATGATTAAATGGGGACAGTTGTTGATGTGACTTAAAGCTTGCTCATGGCTTGCCTCTTGATTACCATGTAGAAAGCTGCTAATAACTGGTATTGGTTGTTCTCCACATTCTAGAAAGTCCACCTGGCTACACAGTTCAGTCAGCAGTTGTTTGCATATGGGCATGTTCATGGATATGTTTTAGTTAGTCCACTCATTTGTACACAGCCCTGAATGATGATGATGATATTATTATTTTTTTTTACACTAATTTTCTTTCATTTCCAACTGATTTATCTTCATTGAACAAATTGTTGACAGAATCCAATTGATACTGCAGTGTTCTGATACGGATACACATTGCCTAATGCCATATTGCATTTAGCACAGAGTATGATGGTAGAGCAGTAATACTTTAGAGTTTTTCAGGAGGTACTGTGAATCTTCTTATAGTTTTCTTCAGTCTCTCCAGATAGATGCTTGGATAGTATCCTGAAATAGACTAGGATTGCCACTTTCCAAATCAGAATAATTTTTCTCGTGAGACACAGTGCAGCTGAAATAATATAATTAAATTACAAAATAATCACCCAGTAAATTATGGGCTCAAGACTACTACTTAATTTTGTAGCAGTGTGTTGCTACCCGACTCCCACGCTGTATTTTATCCTACGAACAATATGTATTACCTTCCAAGAAAAAGTAATGTATGCAGACCTCGAGTGACCCTTGTATGAATGTTAATGGGTGAAAGGGCTTAATTGTCAGTGTTGTCTGTAAAATAAATATGTTTCATTATCATAATTCATAATTATTGTGTGGCTGCCAACTTACACTATGTTAATGCTCAATCATTTTGTGGGACCTCATTTCTTGTCAGCTAATAAGATGGTAAACAGTGTAAAACATGTCTAATTAGTTGCATATAATGAAGAAGGAAGATAAATCCTAAGTTAGTCATGTTCTTTGCTTTTTCTTCATTCTTGTTAACTTCAGTATTGTCTCTAAAAACCTTCTTATTTTGTGTTTTTAACACCACAGGATTACAACACGTGAGAAAACTAAACTTATGCATCACATGAAGCAGAACTTGATTGGAGAAAAGTTCCTGTGGTTTCGAGATCATTTGGTGCCTGATATCACAAAGTATACGCCTGAACTTATTTTGATCATAATTGAACTGTAAGTGGTTTATTAACATTTCTTAAGGTGATGACTTATCTTAACCAATTAAGGTACTTGCTTCCCTCCAAGTTCTGTGCCAGGGCTGTCCATGCTGGATTTATGGTGCATTAAGTAACAGATTTTTCTGAAAGTACCTTTGTTTCTCACATCATTTCTCATTTCATTGATATCCCTGTTTTATATTCTGAGATGTATCATGGGACTGACTAACTGACACTCTGCCACACGCTTGGTCTTTACTTGACGTGTCAACCTTAAAGGTTCATGCTCTTGTCTTACATGTGAATAAGCCTGAGTCCAGCAGCATGATCAGCCAGTGTCATGGGCTCATGTAGTTCCCTACAGTCTTGATAGAACTGTCTTTATAGACTGTGCAACAGTCGCAATGCATTTCTGCAGCATAAGTCCAAGCGTGAGTAGTGTGGACACACCTTAGTAAAGCACTTTGCTGGAAGCATAAGAAGGGAATTTACTAGGACATGAGGACAGTTTTCCGTCCAATCCAAGTCCAGATATTCAACTCTTCCGTTTTGTGTCCCAATAACCAACAAGTACCGTTGTTTCTTTTGAAATATGATTGAAAGTTATTTTATTTTGTAACATTTGTGTATTCAATGGAAAATGTTTCTTCACCAGTTTTCCTTGTTTTATGATGATGCCATATATGTTTACATATGTAATTGGAATTTCAAGATTGAAATATATTGTTCTTTACTACCCTGTATTCCCAAAAATTTTGAGGAGGGGAAATTAACATTAAAATATACTAATTAGAAGTGCATGTGTTGAAACCCAACCTATATGTCAGAAATTGAACTTTTTTGTCTGACACTAGTAGGCTAAAGAGATTGTGAAGGTTTTAAATTCTGCAGTAAACATCTGATTGTATTCATTTACATTGTAACTTTTAGTTCATCAAGAACAGTCACTAAAACAAATGTCTGTGTTTCAGATATCTTGGTAGATTTAAAGAAGAATTGGAACAGATTAGTTTAAAACACTCAATTGGAAATCGCAAAAACAGACAACATGCAAGCAGAGAAGATATCATACGTCTCACTCTCTTGCGTGAGGAAGAGGAGTTTGCTACGTGTGGACTGGGTAAGTCAGTTAACAGTTCCAGTATCTTTAACTCCCTACTGTCCCTGCACTTGACTTGAGGATTGAGTAAAACCATAAGAAATGTCTGGTAGCAAGTTGCTAGTTGGAATTTGAACTGAGTACCGCTCAGATTTGAGCCAGATGGATTAACAGCATGAATCAGTCAAATGAAGAAATGCATTCACTGTATTGTATTGTAGTATTATTTAACATTTATATTAATAATTGTATAACTAAGGCCACATTGATAATTTATTGCGTAAGTAGAGGTAATTTCTTATTAATAGTTTCTTCAACATCCATTATAGAAAGAAGTATTATGTTTTTAATGTTAATATGTAATACAGGTTTTATTCTTAATAATCTTGGGTTTCTTTCAGTTTGTGTTTGGGAATTGGAATGTGTGTTGTTGTTGTTGTTGTTGTTGTTATTATTATTATTTAGTGTTATGTCTGACGGCAGGTCCATTATTCTGCCCAAAAAGAGTTCGCCAGTTTTAGAGACACAAAATTTAATTTGCATATTTTTGAACACTGTTTAATTTTAGAAACCCTGACTCATTTGTGGAATATATTCACAATTATAAATTTATTTATGGTTTATTTTTGGTTTCCAGTAAGTGTAATGTTGGCGCAGTATTTTGTTGTCTAAAATATGGATGAAAATCATTAGAACAGAGAATAAACATTAGATTTTTAGTGAAATTTGGAATCCAGATCTCATGAGATAATATAGCTGTGCTTGTTCGTTACTGTTGGTTCCAAGTGGAATATAATTTAAACCAGACTGCTTTACATGTTTCATAACTATAAACATATTAGCAGCTTTGATTTACTGCAATAAATGTCTTGCATTAAACATTATGTGGAACCAACATAGCCTGAGTTCTCTAAAAATAAATTATCCAGGACATCATCATACAGTGGAAAAATTGAATCCATTATCAGTTTTATTTTATTTTAAATCTCATTTGCCTTAATCTTTACAGAAATTCCAGATGTTACAATTCCTAAACAGTTGGAAATGCTTCGAAATTGGGATGGGGAGTTGCGTTTACTGCAAAACTTCAAGTTGAGGAGGTTTAGTCGTAAGAGCCTTCGGGATCTTGTCACTTGCCCAAAGCTCAATGAAGAGGAATTAGTTATAGATGATAATGTTGCTGTGAAGAGTGCTCTGTCTGTGAAGGCACCCATTGTACAGAATAAGGAATCTAACCCACAAAATGTTGTCAAATCAGATGTTAATGAGACTCCAGTAATCCTGGAGAGCGAAACACGTGAACTAACAGTTGCTGATAGTATGGATATCGACAGCAAATAGTGCCAGATTCAGTAATAAATTTATTTAATTGTTTATGTGTTCTTATTTATCTACCTTACTCTTAAAAAGACCACTATAATGGCAGTTATATAATCCAAAAAAATTGTCATTGTTATAGCTTCACATTATATTCACGTTTCATCCCTTTCCCATTTCATACCTGCCTACTTTTCATGCTCATCTCCCCATTTCATTTAGTGCTGTACATTGCAATTGTTAATTGTAATATATAGCTGATAAATAAACTAAGAATTTGTCAATAACCTATTTACTTGAAACAGTGTCATTAATGAATCTGATAATCATTTTTATTAGTTTGGCCAGTGGGGGTGTTTGTAAGATTAATTTCTTTACGACAGACTGATTTGAAATTGTTGGATACTTAGACTTCAGTTCCTCGTGTGGGTGTTATTGTTGGTGGTATTATGACTTAGTTATTGAGGGTTTTGTGGTGCTTTATACAGCAGCCAGTCAATAATGAGTGTGAAAGTATGAAGTACAACTTTGTGATTTTTCAGTGTGATCTATTTAATTCATCATAATTGCATATAGTGAAGTAACATTGTTATGAAAGATAATCAGTGATGTGAGAAAGGAATTAACATAATTCTCATACTGCTTATTGCCCAAGAAAACTTCAGTAAATTTAATGTGTACGAAAGCCTCAAATCCTATTTTGTGACATTGTCGATAGTTTTGAGTTACACTTCTGCACTTCTGGATCAATGTTTGTATAGAAGTTTCTGACTGCCCCTTCTCCAGTCTCTTCCTGTCATCTCTACATCTTTCATTACTTGATATATCCATTGTGTTTATGGTCTGCCCCTCCCAAAGTACATCCATGCTGTGGGAGAGGAGGCAACTATTCAAATGTCAGGGTGACACACAGTAGGGACTTGCCCCCAGCACCTTCAGGGTAGGTGAGAAGGCCTGACAAGAACTCTGAAAGAACTTCCAAACAGGCTAAGGCAAATAGCAGGCTAATGGTGAATGGATATGTGCTTTCAACAAAAATAAAAGTGAGATGGCCAGATTGTGTTAAATTGCAAGGATTTTATAATTCAGAATTTAAAAAGTACATAGTTTTCAATGGATCAGTAGTTGTTGTATTTCATGTCTCAAAGATTTGTGTGTTCATTTGTTAGATCAGTTAGTTCCTGTATTGGATGTTTTAGTAATGCATAACTCTAGGTTAATTAATTTTGTGTTAGAAATTCTTATGAGCCAGAATAGTTCAATCTGTGAAGTGGTGACTGGATAACCAAGGAACAATTCTTGGTAGAAGCAGGGATATTTCCCTTTGCTACCACATCCAGACTGGCTCTGTGACCCACCCTGTCTCCTAACCGGTGGATATCAACCAGTAAGTTTAAGAATGAAGAATGTGTGGAGCTACATCACTACTTCCCAATACGTCTTCATGCAGAGGTGCTGATTTAAGGGTGGATGCCCTGCTGTGAATGCATTTCACGTTTCCAGGTAATGATGCAAAAGCTATAATAAAAATGTTTATACGTTGTCATTTTGCAGTATTTTAATAAAATATGAGTAATATATAATGTTATGATCATTGAAATCTCTTCAAACCAACAAGTTTGCAAGTTGACTGTATTAGTCTGTACATATGTTAAGTATTAGATCATGGATGGTAACTTTTCATCTTCTTTGTACTTTGTACTTGCTGATCAGTGACATGAAACCGACACCAGTCTACCTTCCAGTGAAAAAATGCTGAATGTATTAAACTCTCTCTTTGCTACTTCCTGTCAGATGCTTGAGTCAGGGTTATTTTGTTTCGGCTTCCATGACTTGCGTGCAGTTTAGATACGCTCTTGAGAACATGTGAGACATTAGTGGAATGAATTTCCTCTCCATAGATCATCCTGTTCTCCTTTCAGAACGTATGTAAGTTTATGCATTCATTGAAAAGAAGCGGAACTTTATATAAGGGATACATTTTCTGTTAAAGTGATGTGTTGTTTTTATTTGTGAACAGTTTTTAGAATTTTAAACAAGTGCTCAGAAATCGTGTGTGATGAAGAACTGCTCGTCCCATGACACCTTAAACAAATTTCCCTTTTAACCTTAATTTTTGTCCCATCATCTGGAACCACAGTTTATGTTTTTCAGTACTAGTCTAAATGTAAAAATAATGAATACTATTTTCTCAAGATATAAAGTGTTCCTGACTTTTCAAGATGACAAAATTAAACTCACTACCAGCAACAACAGTCAGAAGGAATGCAATATTGAAAGGTATGTTTTAGAAATTGTATACAAATTTCAGTTTAGATCAGAGGTTCCCAAAGTTTGGGGCGCGCTCCCCTGGGGGGGGGGGCATGTTGTTTGTATGAAAAACTTTTTTTAACGAAATATGGAGAAACATTTTTAACATCCTTCGCTTGGTTGAGGCAGTTCAGCAGTGGCAGCCATTAAAACAAATTATCGTTCTACGATGAACTTGGAAAATGACCTTAGAGCGGCCATTTCAAAACTCCAACCTCGGTATGATAAATTATGTTCACAGAAGCAACCACATCCATCCCACTAATCCGGGTATGAAGCGTGTATTTTATTAGTTTTTAAATTAAATGTATTGAATAAATTATAAAAAATGTATACTCATAACTAAATTTTATGTCAAATCTGTTTGCTTGCACTTGTTCTGGAAAGGGGGGCGTGAAATTTATGAAATGTTTTAAGGGTATAAAAGTTTGGGAACCTCTGGTTTAGATTTAAAATTACTAAATGCTAGATAACTGATTACGCATATATTTTATTATTAAAATAATTTTGTTTGTTTTTATATGTACATCCTAAGTAGTAAAATTCAGAGACACTTATTAGCATTTTAGTTCATTAAGAGAACACGATCTTTGATTTCTTAAGGTTCAAGAAAATTCTTGCTGTTTTATGTTTGGGTTCGGTATTGTAGTTCTGAATACTTTGAAACAATGTTATCTCATGATGATGTGGTCTGGTGGTGTTGAAACAGAAAATAAGTTGTAGATCAGATATAATTTCTCTTCAACTTTGTACCCCCAAAGTTGTTGGTGTATAATTCAAGTTATACATAGTATATAATCTACATCTAAAATAAATTAAATAAATTACATTACTGATTATTCAGTGTTTATCATAAAATAATACTTTTTTTAAATTTCACGTACCCCCTAAGATGTCTTCGCGTACCCCCAGATATAATTTCTCTTCAACTTTGTACCCCCAAAGTTGTTGGTGTATAATTCAAGTTATAAATAGTTTATAATCTACATCTAAAATAAATTAAATAAATTAAATTACTGATTATTCAGTGTTATCATAAAATAATATATT